TGTAATCGCCTGCAGAATGTTTCTTTGCTCGTTGACTCTCCTCAATACTTCTTCGTTGGTCACTCTCCAACACCACATTTCAAAACTCTCCAGGTATTATTCTCAGAGTAAAGGACAATTATTTCCTTAAACAGAATTAACCAGTTGAGCTTTGTAATGACGAAGTGCTGTGTTTTCTTTGTGATGCGGACTGAATTATTAAATATTATTTAGACGAGCTTCGGTTTTAAAGAGCCGGTCCTAGTGAAGTCAGTAAAGCTTTCGTAGATAATCACTTGTGCCGTTCTTCCTCTGAATGCCAAGGTAGCAGCAAATCCGTTTCCCTATTGTTATGTACGAGCTCTAGAGCTTAACTCTAACTTCAGGGCACACGGTGCTGTTTACAAGAGGAATGCTTCGCTCTCATATGGCTGTTAAATTATTGGGCTCTGTGCGAATGCAGCAGTGTTAATATATTACTTATTATGAAATTTTGTGGTACTATAAAACGCACATTACTAGGTAAATGTAAATAAAAAAACTAATATTCTGAAGGGTAGCAACCACCCCTGTGCTTTTGAAGGCAACCTAAAGAAAGGAAGAGATTAGTTTGTTAAGAGAGGCTACAGAATAAATATTGGCGGGTAATTAACTCGACGAAGATGTGAGAGTAGAAGGATAAAACGTTATAAGAATAAGTGACTAGAACTTTTGTCTCTAAACACTGAAATTGCTGTGCAGGTGTAAACCAAAATGTGAAAGTGTGGTGCCGGAGAAGTCCGAAGAAAATATGGATGGAAATGTTGTAATCCTTGTAATCTAAACGGGGCAAAGCCCTGGACATCATTGATTTTATTTTGTATCTCTGCTATTTTTGGTACAATAATATCGACCCAATTTTTCTTCGTGTGATACATTGGAATTTTATATAACGAGGCTCTCAACGTCCTTATTCTATAGGACCGTGTTAAAGGTAACAAAAATTCAAATGATTCGTTGGATATTTATGAACTACTAACGAGATTACCTTTACATTTATTTCTTACTTGTATGGTTTTTACAGCGGTAAATGTTTATTTTTACTTCCAAGGTAAAATTAAGCTGAGTTAACATGAAATGTCTTGAATACTAAATCACAGTTTTTGTTGATAGTAAAGCGCGTGGCTTGCTGCTAAGAAAATTATCGCCTTATATAATTACTTCAAACTTTATAGACGACTACTTTTAATCTGATCTTTAAACACAGTACTGAACTTTAGAATAAGAAGCAGTTGGTGAGAACTTGAAAATAATATTTGTAAGCCACTTCTCGAATAAATTAACCTGAACTCTTGAGCCAATAATGATTAGCTTCATAAACCTTTTCCTCCCCAAAGACTCATTTTTATCGGTGCTACAAACCGCGTTACACGCCAACATATTTTCTGAAACGGTCTGTTTCAAAACAAATTTTTACCGCTTGATCCAGTGTATTATTTATTGTTCATCTAACGACACTTTCAGCAGATCTCATTATATAGCATAGAATTATAGTAAGTAAAGTAAAGTTTGTCCCACTATACGCCATGTAGGCGTTTGGGGTGAGTGGAGGTATAGCTCCTCTCTTCCTTGACCTCGGCACTAGATGGGGGTGAGTGGTCAGCATCACGCCCCGGCCGGCTTTACCCCCGGGAAAGGACCCCGGTACCCATTGTATAGGAGGCTGGGTGGGCCCCAGAGCCGGTCTGGACGCAGAGGCTAGAGGAAAAATCCTCTGCCCCCGTCGGGGATCGAACCCCGGTCGTCCAGCCCGTAGCTAGTCACTATACTGACTGAGCTATTATAGTAGTTAATTTAATTTAATTTTTAATTCTGAAACAGTAGGAGCTTAATCTGAGGTATTATCCCAGTATTTGTGTAGGTGGTTTGAGGAAAATCACGTAAACGAAGTAAAGAAATCAATGTTCTTAACCTGCGTGTTTGTAGAGACGTTTTCTTGTGTGTCAGAAGAAATGAAAATTTCCAATCTGATGTAGTCACTTAGGAAAAGCTGTTGATTTCTTCGGAAGACGAGACGTTCTCCTACATTCAAATCCTTATCAGGCACTTTAGGGATAAGGAAAAGAAAAAAGTTAAAATAACACTGATTTTTCTCTTTTTCAACTACTAGTCAGAGCTTTTGCTGCGATATATAAAGTTAAGTAAAACAGCACCAGTAATTATAATTTAATCCTCTTAAAATGAATGAAGAAAATTTTGGAGATCCCAAGAAGCAAATGAAATGAAGCTTATATTTTAAAACAATTACAAAGAACGGAACACGCTGAAAGGCGCTGTTTCGAGGACAATAGAACTATTCGTCTTCGTTCATTCATCTTTAGAATAAAGTTTATTTAAAAGAAATTGACGGCGAAATTTTCGAAATTCTTCTTAACCATTTAAAATACATTAGTAACTATACCACCTGCTTTAACAGTTGGTAACATTGCAGTTTGCCCACTGACTCAGTTTATGAGTTTCTTATTTATTTATTTTATTTAGTGTTCTGTCTGACGACAGGTCCATATGAGCAGGATCCTTCCATCCTTTTCTCGGACTGGGTCCTGTTCATATACGTTCTTGGCAGATGATCCAGAAGTGGTTTGCCATTGCCTTCTTCTG